TTCTTTGTCTCTAGGCGGATCCATCTTTTTAGTTTTATTTGTAAACAGTGGGAGGTTTTATGATACAATTCATTGACACCGAAACGCATCAATATATGATTTTCGATCTCGTTTGAAACCGAACGGTTTTATAATTGCTTTTATCACGATAAAACACCTTTATGGAACAGTTTTATAAAGGGAAAGAAAGCTACATTAAATTTCTTTTTAAAACCAGACACTTTCTGATTTTATCGTCAGGCTTTAAAAGGTTTTTAAAACAGCATACAGCTGAACTACTAATCAATAATGTTTTACAGTTTTAAATGCTGTATTTAAACTCAAAAGATTGCTTATTGCCGTTATAAAACCACAATAAATCAGAGTTAAAGCCAAAATCCTTTTAAATTGTTACTTTGGAAAGGTCGAAGGGAAATGGGAAAAAGGTTGAATAGACAAAAAATTGAAATGGACAAAAGGTCAAAATGAGTAAACTGCTGGAGGATAATATGGGTGGATTACTCTCAAATATTTTTCCTTCTCTAAATCATGAGCAGTTCCTTGGAAAATTAAAATACCTAGTTACTGTTTGTACCACTGCAATTTAAGAGAAAAATAACTGCCTTTCTCTAGAACATATTCCTTATTTAAATCATGAGCAGTACTTTGGGAGTATATGCTTAGTTTTTTTTTTAAGTTCTTTTAAACTGCAAGAGTAAATGATTTGAGTCAAACTATTTTCTATTTTATGAAACGATACTAGAAGGTATTTTGGGTGGTGAGATATGTTGCGAAATATAAAGATCCTCTGACGGGTACCCCGTCACAATTGTCACATGAGTGTGTGAGTACAATACTGAACCGCCACTTGTCTCAGGCCGAGCAGCTAATCCCGCTGTCAACATGAGAATGTAGAGGTAAACAACAGTCATCAAAATTCTCTCACTCCGATGGTAGGCACATAAGAGAACATGTGGTGGTTTGAGTATGATGCGAGAATGATGATTCACATCCCGCTTACTAGGGGGGTTGGAACGTTTCTATAACATCACTACTTCGTAAGATTGATGAGAGTAGCATCAAGTCTACGGTAGCATAGTGGTAAAGCGGCCGTCTAGCGTACTGGGAGGTGTGGGTTCGATTCAACCATTTGTCCCTCTAAGTTTAATTCGATCTTGGGTCTTTTCGACCTTTTGTCTTTTGACCTTTTCTGCTTCGACCTTTTGTTTTTCAACCTTTTGTCATAAATTGAATTTTGTATTTTTTGTACCTCAATTTCTTCTTTTCTTAAGCATTTGGTTGGTTAGAGAAATTTAATATGTTGTAGGACAAATGGTCGAATGACAAAACGTCGAGTAACAAAAAGTCGAAAGGAAAAAAGGGTTGAAGGCACAAAAGGTCGAATGGACAAAAGGTAAAATGATGATAAGGGGGCCAAAGGTTAAATGAACAAAAGGTAAATGTTTCAAAAAGCGACAAAAAGTCGAATGGACTAAACGTTGAATGGTGGCAAAACGTCTAATGGGCAAAAGGTCAATTGGAAAAGAGGTCGATTGGTACCTAAAGGGATAACAATATAATAATGTACACGGATGTCTTCAGAAAATTGAAGACAATTTTATTATTACAACCAAACAAAAAAAAAATCGTTTCTTGCAGTCAAAATTCATATCACAAAAATCTTCTTATTTTTCTTTCGGTAGTTCAATTCATATATTTAAAGGAAAAAAATATTCTTTTATTCTTTTAATTTGTCAAATTTGAACTGCCGTGCCTTTCATTTAACCCTTCCATTAAATTTTGCACAGTGGTCTCATCGACCTTATTTGCCGCCGAACGCCAGCTAGATTTAAACTGCTGCTCATTTTCCATGGATATATTAGTTTTTTTGAGATTCCGTTTGACCAAGGCCCAATACCGTTCAATAAGGAGGAGTTCTGAGCTGTTGAGAGGGTCGTCGTCTTTGGGTACCACAGCCGCGTCGTTCGCATCGTACCACTCGATTGCCTTTTTCCCATAGTGGCAGCTCGCCAAGTCCGGCCAGAACAGCACAGGTCTATTAGGTTGCTTTAGGAATAGTAGCAGCCGCTTTTCCAGGCACTTCTGGACGTAGATCTCTTGATTGATGGTACCCGTAGTAATGAAAATGCCGCTTCTTAGACCACACGTGCATATGGCCTGCCAGACGAGATATTTTTGCGGGAACTTCGATAGTTTGATCGTTTTAAAAATTTCAGCCACCTTACCTTTTCCTGATGCGGTATAAAACTCCTGTCCCGGAAGCTGCTTGAAATCCGCCTTCACATAAACTTCGTCGTCCATGACGACACAGTCAAACTTTGTGAGCAGATTCGTATGCAGCTTTCGGGACCGCTGCTTTGCCGACGTGTTTTGTTTGTAATCTCGGTTCGCCACCTTCACCTTCTTAAACGTCGACAACCCGGCTTGTTTCTTGGCCCGCTGCACAGTAGTATGGAAGACATTGATATTGACGTCCCGGAGGGAGAGGTTAGGATCCCGCTTATATTTCACCGCCACCTTCTTCGTCGTCGCTGCCACGTCCGGATTACGATTGCCGCCGCTTCCAGGCTTCCTGGCGGTCGACAGACGCTCCCCGAACACTTTTAAAACGTTTGTCACGGTCGGTTTGGCCACATCCAGCAACTTTGCCAACTTGGCGTGTGAGAACGTTGGATTCTCTTGCTGCGCGAGCAAAATTTTGACACGCTGCTCCTCTTGCTTGGACGTCATTTTGAAAACTGGAGAGCAAACGGTGAAAACTCATCATAGCAACCATTGTATATACACTCAACTTCCAAATGCAGCATTTCAGGGTTTTTAATGCATTTTTAATAGAAATACTCCAATTTGAAGTTGACCAATTTTCGCGCGTTCCAGACTTTAGGAATGCTTCAGGACGTGGGTTTTTTTGCGTACAGTGATAAATTAGTAGTGATTTGCTTTGAAATGCTTTATTTCATCTGAAACATAGAAATTACTTCCACATTTTATTGAATGATTCCGTATGTATTGCAGTTTCGCTTCTTTAGAGAACAAGTATCCTCAGGATGCATGCTTTCCCAGTGATCCATACATGTATTTCATGTATCAAAACAGCGAAATAGTGTTGCTAAAGTCCAATGTAAACAAAGAGAACAAATTGGTAGTTTTGAAAAGCCGCTAGGAAAGTGCTATACCCATCAGTATATCAACATGCGAAACTCGGCCATCATTTCAACACCCAAACATAATAAACTGTACTAGTCATACTCTGTCAAAATAGACATTGTTTAGCAACAGCTAGACACGTGGAAATAAATCGCAAACTTATTCCTGAACTGATCGGTTAATCCTTCTGGCTGCTTGTCCTACACTGAAACGGAACATGAAGCGCTACTCACCTGTTCATGCATGAGCATTCATACCCGTCCCGATGCTGAACATGAATGATATTGAGAATGAAAGTCCCAGCAGCTATGTTCCATCGGTACCAAAAACAACGACGACACCATCATGGGAAAAGATAAACAACACACCTAAACAATCAAACTACCTGGTTCAGCTGCTGACGCTGGTGGCGTTTACTACAAACTATAGATACTAATGTAATAGATGTGCGGATATGTACCACATTTTGTATCCAAACGAGCATTTCCATACAATTTGACGGTCCGTCGACATCCGCACATCTATTGCATAAGTATCTATACTACAAACTGCTAACAGCTTCCGTAGGGCACCTTCACCATCATCATCGTGATATTCTTCCCCGACCGGATTTCCAAACAAAAACACGGGCTCATTTTGGACAGGGAAGTAGCCCTATTCCCTCGCTAACTTTGGTTCCCAGTGGAAAATACCGTTCCGTGATTGCAGCTTCTAACAATCTCTCGCACTATGCTAGTCAGCCATTCTCGGACGAACCAAACACTCGAGTGCATTCATGTTGGAGTTCATTCAGTTTCGGTGCATAGTTTGCGGAACGTTACACACACCTGATGATATCCATGCGGGAGCTGCACAAGCTGTGGCACCTTGCCACGTCAGATGGGATTTTCGTGGTACGCCAAGTGATAAGATACAATTTAATCTCTTTACCGGGCGCCTGCGAGGTTGCCACGCTGAAGGAATGAGGCGTCGAGAAGAATGTGCCGTAATCCTTTGCTTCGTATGCCCTCACGTGGGGGTATTTCCCGCCGCTGGATTTCGGAAAACAAGAGTGATTTGACAGACTAAAACTGGGCGAAGTGTAAAGCTAACATTTACAAACGTGCAGAAATTTTAAAGATAGCTCGGCGTACTGCTTCATACTGAATCGTTTGGATTAAATAGGTTATGTGCAGCGGAAAGTTTTTGGATGAATGAAAGTTGGAACTATGCTGCTTTGATAGCACTGAGTAATTAATCATTTTTTGTTATGCGATTCAATTTCAGTTTTAGTTATAAATGCTGTCCGTAAAACCATGAAAAAATTTCTATATTGTGGTAATCTAGACAAAATATTAAAGTGTGACAGTGGTTTCGACCGCAGCTCTGCACTGAATATAAAAACCCCGTTTTAGAATTGCTTCTACACGAAGATCAACTGTAAAATTATTCTTTAACTCGTCTCATAAACTTTAAATAAGCTATGGGCAAATAATAAAAGTTGGTTCTGAACTTCCAAATAAGACTAAATGCAAACTTAGTCTTAGAGTTTTCCCGAAACGCGGATAGATCACCTCTTAGTGATGCATTAATACTGGTTTGTGAATCGAATCTACCACATCCGGCTTGGTAATACCGTGCCCTAACTGGTTAGGCTATCTGAGGCCCCAAGTTTCAACTTTATCTATTATCATTTTTATAAAAGCCTCACGGTTTGCACTAGTAGAGGCCTGTCGGAGAGCAATCTACAAGCCCTTGGTCTTTCCATAATCTCTTAAAAAAAATAAAGTGATCGATTACCATCGTGCAATCCAAGTTTTAGTTGTACATTTTATTTCAATCGCCAAACTTATCCTTCTTCTTCCATTTTACAGATCCACAAAGAATGGCTGGCAAGGCGTGCCGCGAGCCGTGTGAACTCCAATTCCACCCAGCGTACGACCTACCTGCGAAAGTTAATCAAATTCAAAAACGAACATGAGCCCCTGTCCGAGAATGACATTTCCTTTGTGCCACATTTCGACCACAACAATAGGAACACTGAGCATCAGAGTGCCATCGGAATCGATGACAATCGAACCAACATGGACCCCGTTAGTAGTGGCAGTAACAACCGGCAACAGGACAATGACAACGAGTATGGATTGAGGCCGGTCGGAAGTGATGCTGAACCGGACGAGGCAACGGAGCAGAATGAAGCCGACCGATATCGGTACGATGTGGCAAGTGAAAGCAATTTGTCCACCGGCAAAAATAGGCACCCGGGTGGATCCATGCAATCTCGATTATTAGAGCATCACTCCGAGGGCCAGGAAGCGTCTAACGAAATACCACTGGTGACATCTACCGTTGGTGCACCTGCTGTGATGCAACAGCAAAATGATGCCATTGCATCCGGATGGGGAAATGAAAATGACCCAACCGAACAAATTAATGCTGTGGCCAAAATAAATGAGCCTGGTAAATCCGGAACGGTGGACGACATAAATAATGATCTACCGCAGGCGGGTGCAGCGGGAAGTGGCACTCATAAATCAGTGGATGTTGCTGCAACTGCTGATAAAAGGAAATCCTGGCACAATCCGGCCATAATTAATAATGAAACCACAGACGATGAGAGCAGTACGTCTTCTTCAAGTGGTGCTTCCGGTTTTACCACTACCACCACGACGACGGAGGTAGTGCCAGCCAAGGTCGACGAGCAAGACAAGACAAAGGTGGACGGAAATGTCACTATAAGAAATGGATTCGGTCCCTGGAGCAATTGGACGGCCTGCTCACGGTCCTGCGGTGGCGGTGTTAAATCTCAACAACGGAAATGCTGGCGACGAGAGTGAGTTTTGATGTTGTTGTTATTGTTTTACTTTAAGACGCTTTCAAACCTCTCTGTTTATTAATAGCTTTGATAAACTCACAAGCGAATTTGCAAACAAATCTCTTGCTTGAGATTCTTATGCATTTTCACGCACTCACATTCACAACGCAAACAATTCACTCCATCTCAAAATTCTTAAAATCTGGTTAAATGTCAATTGACGGCACATGTATTTTTTGTTACTTTTCCAACAAATAGTGCAAAAATATTACATAAAACAATGAATGACGTTTAAATATAAAGGAATGAATTTTTGATCCGAAAAACTCATCAGTTATTCTTGCGCTGCTGAATTTCGCTAGGCAAAACTCATTGGTGAATAATCTCACGGACGAGATTTGAGCTTTTGAGTTTTTTTCCGATCACTGCCTTCCGAGACAAGCAGAATGTAAATAAAATAAGAAAGGCAAAAATGAATTAAATGAAGAAAGGCTTCGGCAATACTTTTAGTAATTATCATCAGGAGGTAAATGAAGTCTTTAAGTGTTCAATTTTAGCCAAACGATGCTTTGAAACATGATGGTTCAGTTAGGGTTAGGGCGCATTCTGCCAGGTTGATCTAGGCAGATTTCATGTGTGAGTAAGTGATGAACATTGTTATATCAGGCATAACATTTGATAACGGCACAAAAGCATTTGTAAACAAACTTTCTAAGGCCCTTTACACGCGAACCAAAGTAAGCCCACGCAAATCAATACCACTTTCGGAAAGGTGATCGTTGTCCCTATCCGATGATATTGTTGGTTTGCGTGGGTGTACTTTGGATCGCGTGTAAAGCGCCTTAGAAAGTTTGTTCACAAATGCTTTTGTGCCGTTATCAAATGTTATGCCTGATATGTAATACACTTTAAAAGATGCGTTTCATATTTCATCTCATGTAGTTCCAAAGAGCTAAGCCAAGTTCATTTGTTCAAGCATTTTGTAATTAAAGGGCGAACACGAAATTATTGCGACACATTCAACAGGGTATAACTTTTTTACCATTGGGTAAAAATCAACCAAATTTTGCACACTTTCTCATTGATGTGTATTGTGTACATGCTGTCAAACTCGAAGTCGTGTTTTCCGATTCAACGAAAATGGAGGTGAACCAACGCGCGTTGAGAGAACAAATTCTTTCCAAACACCTGGAATTTCCTGACCTGTCGCACCGGCAGTTGGGAAAAATGTTGAACATTCACCATTCAACCGTCTCCAGAGTGTTGAAGCGGTTTCAGGAGCGGTTGACGTTGGACCACGGCAAAGGAGCTGGAAGAAAACCGGGACCGGAGAACAAAAAGACGAAGGGAAAGTTGAAGCGGATGATTAAAGCAAATCCCAACGTCTCAAGCCGTGATTTGACTAAAAAGATCGGCATGTCGCAGAGTTACGTCCAGAATGCAAAGAAGAGAGCTGGACTACATACATACAAGGTACAGAACTTCCCAAACCGCGATGAGCGGCAACAATCGACGGCTAAAACTCGGACACGGAAGCTCTACGAGAAGATGCTGACAAAATATGGCTACTGTGTGATGGACGACGAAACGTATATAAAAGCCGATTTTAAGCAAATTCCGGGGTTGGAGTTTTTCACCGACAAGAGCAAGTTCGATGTTGACGACAAATTTAAGAAGAAGAAAATGTCGAAGTTCGCCTCCAAATATCTCATTTGGCAGGCCATCTGCTCTTGCGGACTGAGGAGTGAGCCTTTCGTGACAAAGGGCACAGTAAATGGCGAGATCTACAAATCTGAGTGCCTCGAGAAGCGCCTTTTGCCGTTCTTGCAGCAGCACGACGAAGCTCCGCTATTTTGGCTAGATTTGGCATCATGCCACTATTCTAAAAGTGTCCTGGAGTGGTATGAGGCCAATTTTGTCCATTTTGTTCCAAAGGACATGAATCCGCCAAACTGTCCGGAGCTGCGCCCGGTGGAGCAGTACTGGGCAATAATGAAGCGGGAACTTCGGAAGAGCAAGAAGACAGTCAAAGACGAGAAGGACATGTTAAGAAAATGGAAAAAAAAAAAACTGAGAAACTGGTACCGGATGGCACTGTAAAGACTTTGATGGAGGGCATCAAGCGAAAATGCGTTCAATTTTACACTCAAGGCTCCATCGATTAACTTTTCTTTTGATTTTTGAAGTAAATATATGTATAAAACTACCCTAAAATTTTGGTTTGATTCTAAACATTATAAGAAAATTGGCATGACATTTTCGGTGTCGCAATAATTTCGTGTTCGCCCTTTATATTCCATGATGTCTCATGAGGATTTTATGGATCTCAAACATAAGAAGATTCTCGTGTTCGATAATTTTCAGAGTTAAATATGCCATGAATTTTGTTTTCAAGATTTTTTTAAAATAGATGTTTCTGATAAATAATAATCCGTATAAATTATTCGAATTCAAATGTAAATACAGAATCATGCTTGGCATACACAGTTTTGTTTACGAACTGCTCATTTGCTAATAGCATTGCACACAGTTGACGAAACATATTTCTTTTTGAAGCAGTAGATAGAATAGAGTTGAAGCTTGTTATAGATACGTAAAAATAGTAGATTTGAATTCTAGTAATAAGCTGTATTTGTTTATGCGTTGTAAAAATGAAGTGAAAAATGCACATCTCGGACTTAAGTGTAAAAATTCATTGGTGTTGATTCAAATTTTATGATTTACCTACCCTTGCATACCCAAGCAGCACACTTTGATCGAAATAAGCTGCTGCAACTTGATTGTGACTGGAATAAGTGACACACAAGTAACCACAATTGTTCAGTGACATGTGTGCTGCTAGGGTATCTATACTGCCGTTATATGCACAACTCTCCCTTGTTCTATGCAATCCTTATGGACCGTGGGACTCTTATGCATATAACGGCAGTATAGTAAACTATGATCATTAAAAATCAGGTTATAATTAAACTTTCTTCAGATTTTCAAGACACCTAACGGATTTTGAATTTCTAGATTTTTATGTTCGATGAAAAAAGAGAATTATAAAGCATTTATCCAGAATTTTTTTGTCGATGCCTCGTACTAACTATTCCAGAGCCAACATTTCAAAGGGGACAGTGTTCACTCGGCTGTCGACAGAAGCAGACCATTCCCAATGTGTGTCACGTGATCGTCTGTTTACTCGGCAGCAACCATTACACAGTGGTTTCCCTTAGAACAAAAGTTGGACAAAACCGCAAAATTGTTGCAAATAGGCTGTGCGAAGAAAACTTGACAATCAAGACGTCACAAAAAGGAGTATAGTAGAACCAACAATCAATACGAAACTAACGATTTTAAATTGACTCACTACTTGACTAGCCTATTGGTCCCAAGCAAACTATTAACGTACCCCATTCTAGTCGAAATTCTAGTACTACACTATGTTTGTTTTGATTCGCTATGAAAGTTTGACGCATAAAATGAGGGGTTAGTGGATTTTCCTATGTTTCGAGGGGTGAATCGATTAGCTTGGGACCGAAGAAAGTACCAGAGCTGAGCCAAAAAGTTGAGTTCGTTTCTTCGGAACCTTCTGGTCTTAGAGTTACCTCTATGGTAGAACCAAAACCAATGCACAATGGTCCCAAAGCCATATATAGGAAGAAAAAATGTTTGCGCTCAAACCGTCAGTTTTAGGTATAAGGTTTCGTAGGGAAAGTTGCTACATATTTTTTGTTCAATCTTTTTATGTTCGTTAAATTAGAGTGGTCCATAAAATTGGAGAATTAAAAAAAAAAACAAACTTTTTTTTTATTATTTGAGATACATCAAAGCAGTGTTCTAAACTGTTGTAGAACATTCAATTCAAAGCAACTTTGTTGAAAAAACAAAATTTTTATCTATTGTGGTTCATGAGTTATGATTTTTTTAAACAAAAAGTTTAGGGTGGCCACTAAAATCGATTTTCTTTGAATATCTTTTCATGCGTTAATTTCTCGTAAAACATTGTTCTGATTACATGCAGAACTTTTGATATTTTTGCTCAAACAACTAGGTTACTATCTTTTTTTATTAGAAAAAAAGCCTTTTATTTTCTTAGAAATTTAATTGTCAATATCTCAAAATGGAGCAAACCGATTTTCAAACATTTAATTTCATTTTTCGTTTTTTTTTCCTAATTTTTGGTAAAAACTGCTAGAGCTTTTTTTTCTGTTTAAGGCCATCGTTCGGACATTTTGAGCCGTTTGTCTGTGATTTGGGTGGTTTTCCAGGAAACGTCCCGAAAATCCTGTGAAGGAAAGCGAATATCGGGAAACAAATTCCGTCCGATTGTAGCCAAGGATTTTGTTTTCCTAGATGGGTAAAATTTGGGTGGAAAAGTGCATTCAACTTCAAGTGGTGTGCTTTTTCCGGGAAAGTGGCATTTCCACCCAAAGATAATATGCACGTGAGTGTATATGTGCGCGCAAGGAAATGCAATCTTGCGCCTATGTTTTCCCGGGAATTTCCCAAGAAAGTATACCATATTTTTATACCAGGACATTCTGCAGACTATGCACAACATGATGGTATCCATAAACATATGATTTTCGAAAATTTGTAGCATGGTTTTTCAATTTCCAAACCATGCGCCAAACATTCTCGCTGTAAATTCGTCACGGACATAGTAAAGAAGCAATCAGCAATTACGCATTTGTTTTACCACGTTGCCACATTTTCTTGTTCGTAGGTCCACGAGTCCTTTTTCGCTAGTTCGCTCATCATATCAAATTGATCAGGAATTCTTCCGAATGTCAAAAATTATATCGAAGACCTACGACGGATCCGAAATTGAAATTGAGATCTCCATATATTCTTTCATCATATCAAACTGAACAGGAGTTCTTCAAAATCTTATCTTATCTATCGAAGACCTACGACTTATCGGGAATTGAAATCGAATCCTGCATATTCCCTCATCACATCAAATTGATCATTAATTCTTCCGAATAATCAGAAATTATATATAAAACGTATGACTAATCGGAAATTGAAAA